GGGGGCAGCGGGGGATCCTGCGGCAGAGGGTGTTTGGCTGTGATCTTGGGGAGCACCTCAGCAACTCAGGCCAGGATGGTGAGGCTGAGATCACCGCCTGGCCACCTGACTTTGCCCTCCCACCTGCGGTGCGGCCTACCCAGACTGACCCACTACGTTCTTCCAGTGCCTCAGGTGCTACGCTGCTGCTCCGAGTTTATCGAGGCCCACGGGGTGGTGGATGGAATCTACCGGCTCTCAGGAGTGTCCTCCAATATCCAGAGGCTACGGTGAGAGCCCAGCACCAACCCATCCTTCCAAAACTATTACTGAGCCCAACTTCGTCCCAGCCTATATCATGTGCCAGGGACACAGTTGTTAGGAGGGCAGAGAGCAGGATGGACCAAGGCTGTGACCAGAGAGGGCTTCCTTGAGGAGGTGGCACCCCAGCCAAGGCTCAAAACACAGCAGAGTTGTTTTTTCTTTTTTTAAAGAATTATTTTATTTCATTTATTATCATCATTATTATTTGTTTAATTTGACCAGAGAGAGACAGAGAGAGAGAGAGAAAGTAGGAAAGCAAGCCTCCAGGTCCAGGACTAGAACCGTGGTCAGCCATGTGGGAGTCCAGCGCTTTAACCACCATGCCACCTGCTGACCCCTACACAGAGTTTTTTAAAAGTGTATTTACTTCTTCCATGAGCAAGATAGAGGCACCCCAACAGGATCTTCATGCTACAGTCCTACCCCCATCCTCAGCTAGCCAGGACCATGGGCAAGCATGCATGCACAGCATGTACAGGGAGATCTTAGGACTAGAACCTGGGGCCTTTCCCATGTGGCTTCAGCATCGTGGAGTGCTGCAGTACCACTGCACCAAGGCCTGAAAGGTTTAAGTAGAGTTGGCTACAGAGCAGAGGGATCAAGCTTCACTGAGCACCTGCCACCTGCCAGACACTGTTCTAGGTACTGGGGTCACAGCAGTGAATGAGACAGCCAGAAACCCCTGCCCTCCTGGAGCTCACATGCTGGAGGGAGAGAAAAGGGAGAAAATGGTAGCATTTACTAGAAGGTGACGAGCACTGTAGAGAGGAAGGAATGGGGGTAAGGAGGAGCGTGATGATCAAGCAGAATGGAGTGCTGCAGTTCGAAGCAGCATGAGCAGAGAGGCCTGGTGGGGGAGAGCCGAGGAGGTAAGGAGCCGAGCTGACCAAGCAGGGATCCCGGGTGGAGAGTGCCTGGTGGGGAGCGTAGACAGGGTGCAGGGGAAGCAGCAGATGGCCCTTGTCTGAGGATCATCAGGGCAAAGGTGCAGCCTTTTGACCACTGTTAGGATTTGGGCTTTTACTCTGAGTCAGCAGGCAACCACAGGAGGGTTCTGAGCCAAGGAGGGTCACCATGTGTAACAGTCTCAAGATGGGGAGGAGTGAGGTGGGAGAAGGGGCCGCCAGCAGGCCCTGAGGTGAGAGCACACAGCCTGGGGGAGCAGTGAGACAGGCATGAGGTCGAGGAGAGCAGGTATTTGTACCAGTGAGCAGTAGGGTGATGGGGTTAAAAAAACCCAGTGACCTCTGAGAGCCAGGAGAATGACACAACTTCATGGTAGGAGCGTGGTGACACTCTGGAGTTGGACAGACTTGGGTAGCTGCAGGCAGGGTCCTCCTGCCTGAGCCTCGGTGTCTTCCTCTGTAGAACAGACCACCCTTGGCTTTGCCACAGGACCGTGGGGTGGTTCTGTGAGTTTCCGCCTCTGAATGGCCTGGTATGGAACCTGGGGAAAAGGTTACCGTCACTTGTAGGTACCTGAGGGGAGAGGGAAAGCAGCCTGGTGAGCCAGCTCTAACCAGAATCTTCCTCCTTCTGTCCCTATGGTCTCAGGCATGAGTTTGACAGTGAGCGGATCCCTGAGCTGTCTGGCCCTGCCTTCCTGCAGGACATCCACAGTGTGTCCTCCCTCTGCAAGCTCTACTTCCGAGAGCTGCCCAACCCCTTGCTCACCTACCAGCTCTACGGGAAGTTCAGTGTGAGTAAAGGAGCTAGCAGGGCTGGAGGGGACTGGAGTGTGTCCAGCCCAGCCCCCATCATGCCTGTCCACAATCTCAGGAGGCCATGTCAGTGCCTGGGGAGGAGGAACGCCTGGTGCGCGTCCATGATGTCATCCAGCAGCTACCCCCACCGCACTACAGGTAAAGCAGGAGGGCCAGGCAAGGGCTGTGGTGGGATTCCAGTGCAGCTGAGGCTCAGGTGTCTCCTTCGATTGCCACCCTCAGGACGCTGGAGTACTTGCTAAGACACCTGGCCCGCATGGCAAGACACAGTGCCAACACCAGCATGCATGCTCGCAACCTAGCCATAGTCTGGGCACCCAACCTGCTCGGCTCACCAGCCTGCCCCTCAGCTTCCTCCCCTTCCTCCCACAGGTGGGCCTCCAGTCTCCCCACAACTACCCCAGGCTCTGGCCCAGCTTTTGTTCTCTTGTTCTCTCATTTAATATGTATTTACTGTGGACCTCCTACAAGCTAAGCCCTGCCCTAGCACCGGGGGCACGGTAGTAAACCAATGTGATTCCTGCCCTCCTAGGAATTGCATTCTCATGGAGGAGCTGGATAATGAGAAAAGGAGAGTGATGTCCGATGGTGATGAGAACTCAGGAGGAAGCTCGGGAGTGGGAGGGGCGTGGAGCCATGGCAATTTAAAGTTTTCAGATAGGATGGCAGGGAAGGCTTCAGTAAGTCTTTCTATAGCCAGCAGCATGGTAAGCCCTGGAGGATTTGACAGCAAGAAGCCAGATCTCTGTCCTGGAGGAGTTCATATTTACTTTTTTTTTGGAGAGGTTTTTGCTATGGGGCGCATGCGCTCGCCATATAGACAGAGACAGACAGAGAGATAAAAAGCGAGAAATCACCCCCCAGGGTGGATGGCCACACCGCAATCCCTTCTCCTCCATTCTCCTCTCAGGATCCTGGGCACATACGCACACGCGCCGGCGAGAGTTTAAGCCACTGGGTTCGGGACTCGAACTGTGGTCGGCTACGTGGGAGTTCAGCAACATAGCCATTACGCTAACTGCTGGTCCCTCATATTTACTTTTTTTTTTTTTTTTTTGGAATTTTT